ATATAACATTTTAGACACATTCTAGACAGTTTATCAGCTAAAAAAAGTTAATTTTGGGGTAAGTTACTGCTTAGCATCTCAAACGTGTTTCTCTGCTCGGTGTAACTTTGTGTTTGTAGCTTCCTGATTTATTTTTTTGTATCTAAACTGGGACTAAACGAGCTGCTAGTTGCTTCTTTCCATCATCTCAGAGCTACATACCGACTCTTTGCAGCTTTAGTTCAGGTTTCCAGCAGGGATCCAGCAGTCCGCGCTGATGCTTTATTTCTTCTTCGTACCGCAGGATGGTTTTTTCAAACTCGGAGAATATTTCTGCAGCAGCAGCTGTCAGCCTCCCACAAATAAAGTCTCTCAGATGATGAACTGAAGACATTGTTCTAAGAACAACCTGGTTTGGCTCAGCTGAGAAACACAAACAAACCAGTTCACTTCTTCTTCGTGGGTTTAATTGCAGCAGGAAAACTCAGTGACGAAGCTACAGCGCCACTAAGCTGCTTGGAGGATCACAACAAGCAAAACTTGACTTTTAAACTCAGAATATTTGTTTAAAGGCCTTTATAATTTCACACAATAATAAAACAATAATTATTAAAATATAAAAAACAGTAAAAATATAACACAACTGAGATTTTTAAGAGTGTTAACTTTATATATTTAACTAAAAAAACAAAACAGTAAAGAACAGAGATCTGTCAGGAAACATTGAGAACCTGCAGCCTTTATGAACACATTTATTTAAACAGAAAAGTCTTTAAAATGCGGGAAAAATTTTTTTTTACAATTCTTTAGAAACTGTTCTACAAACAGAAAAAGGTCCACATTTTGTTTTATTAAACTCTAAAATCAACATTCAATGAACTTTTTAGTTTCTTACTCTTCTATTTGATAAAGACAGAAGAAAATCAGAGATATTAAACTTCAATAAAACATTTTTGTAAAAACCAAAACAACAGAAAACAGCAAATACACAAGTTTAGTAAGTTCACAAAGGATTCCTACAGTTTAAGGTCAGTTAAATTTCAGACTATTAAACACCAAGTGAAATTAAATTTAAGATGGTTAAGACAGTTTTACAATAAACACAAATGACCAAAAAATAAAACAGTCAGAAATTCATGAATCAAAGTATTTTTGGTTGAAGTATTCAAATATTGTAAAAGTCCATTTGTTTTTATCCATACAGATTTTTGTCAAATATAGCAAAAACATTCTTGGCAGTCAGTTTTAAACCTAATTTCATTCCTGGAAATCATCTAACGAGCCAACATTTGGAGTTTTAGGACCCACAGTGGGTTCTCAGCCCCAACTTGCTGTAGATGAAACCTTAAAGTGCCTGTGAAATCAAATGTTTGTAAGAAATATGAACACATTTTTGGAAAGACAACATTATAAACATATCATAAAACAAATTTCACCTTGCTAAGATGGACAATTGTTGAGATATTTGCATGTGAACTAACAGGAAGTGATGTCAAAGGAGAATGTCTGCATGTAAATATTAAAAAAACAAATGTTACCAATTATTTTAATATTTGAGACAAATCATCCTACTTAGTATGTGTTAACATTTTTAAACGTCATTGTCCCCAGCAATCTAATCTAATCTAATCTAATCTAAAACAAGTGCAAACTGAACAAGTTTGATGAGTAGAGAACAACTGATCATTTCTCAGTTTCAACTTGAATCAAAGCTAAATAAAAGGCAACAAACAAGAAGGTTTGCTGGAAGCAACTCTTCTTCAAACTAGGGC